TTCTTTTTCAACTCTACTTTTGATTACTTATTTGATCTGTTTTTAAACTTGCAGAGAGATAGTTTTTTTCTGTTTTTTACGTTTGTGTTCTTTTGTAGACAGCTGCAAATTCAGAAGGCCAACTAACGAGTCAGTATTTTATCAAAAGTTAGTTTTAGAGAAGAATATATAGTGATGTTTTATTTCTAAATGTATATTATACAAAAATATCTTATCATTTCAAGTATTATACATGTAAAAACTACTTTTAATATTAATATATTTCAGACGTAATTGCGAAAACATACTGGGTAAAAATTTATTTCATGGTAATTATTGAGTAACCTCTAAAATTATTTTGTTATATATCTTTAATATCATGTCCGTCAGTAATGAGTCAATGTCGGATATATACTCTTCCATTTATTAGTATATGTGAATTAGGTTTCTTGATAAAGAAGTTTTCTTTTTTCGTTTACTTCTCTACAGTTTAAATTGATTTCCTTTGTTTTACGACATATCAACCTCAATGGATTATATAATGCCAGCAAGATTTTTATTGCTGGTAATATATTTTTCAAAAATATACTGCTATAAATAATGTTTTGCCGGTAATATTTTTTCTTCAAAAATATATTGCTGGTAATATTTTTTTAAAAAACTATACTGCTGGTAATATTCTATTGCTGATAATAATTTTTTTCTTCAGAAAGACATTGCTGGTAATTTTTTCTTCAAAAATGTATCACTGGTAATATTTTATTTTCCAAAAAATGTACTGCTGGGATTAAAACCAATTATGAATTTATGAGAAAATTATCTTTCATTCCGCAGAGACAAAGGATAGAAAAGCGATATACGGTATATCTTATATACACTTTTATTTGTCACGAGTTATGGGACAAACAATCAAAGATAAAATGGTAGGTATGCTTATATTCGGGGTCGTTTATTCGCGAGGTTTTACCGAAATCACGAACATATCTAAAATTATTCTTTTAAAATGATACAATTTTTTATGTATATTTTTGAAACATTTTACAGGTATTTTTAGTATTCAAATTTTCTATCCAAAGGGCGGCCGAAATATCTCCTATATAGGCCTCACAGAATTACCTCCCACCTCATGTGTAGTGTTGTGGATTCCGGGGAAGCCAATCCTGCACAAATAAATAAACAACGCCAGTAATTGAAATAGAAAAATAGGTGTATTAAACGTAAGAATACAAACTTGAAATGAAGATTAGTAGTCCAGGAATGCGGGTTAGTAGGAAAGTATATGTACAACTCACTGTAGGTGAAGCCGTAATTATCTCTCTTTCTGGACTCACATATAACTCTGGGTGAACACCCTGTCTCGACGTCTTTCTCACGCTATTTCTCTGTAGTATAAGTATACTTTGGATGAGTCCATCTTGTGTACAAGGGGCGAGCCCAACAATAGGTAGGAAATTAGCTAGATGAAGATAGTCTTGCCGCTATGGTCTTTCTTCTGGGAGGAATATGCAGCAAGTATTTCAGCCGTAGCCTTTCTATGCATGCAAACAGATATAAAGACATAAGTAATCTCACTCAATCTCGCAAATGTTCCCATAGATTTTTATTTAGAGAGTCGACAAAATGCAAAAAACGGTGACAAACATACAGGAATACAGTATGCATGCAATGGTTAGAATTAACTCAATCTATACAATACAACAAACATAATCTATATTAAAAACATGAATTGATCGGCTGTCCGCCACGTTTTGCCTGCTTGTGACAACCCGTGCATGTATCTAAAGTTTAGTTGTGTCTGGGTTGTACGTAATGAACTCGAATGTACCCGTGTCCTTTAATATGCAATCACTTACACCATGCGCAGAGTGTCGAAGGTCAAAGTTTCGAAAGACAAAACGACGACCAGAAAAAAGTCAATCTATTATGTTTAGTATATCCCTCTGTGTAGTAGCAGTCGTATCACAGTTCACCGCGTTACGTTTAGCAAACAGGTTCGTTAACAATGAACTTATGTCCACCCGTTGTTCTCTATTTATCCTTGTCTATCTCATTTGCATACACTAAAACAATGACTAAATGACGAAAGGCCAGAAATGTGGCTTCAATAGAAAAAAATTACTTTGCATTCATGTATGCTAGCGGAAAATAATTACTTTTAATTTTTAATATAAAAACCTTCGAAGAAAAAATGACTTTCTACATTCTTGCTGACATTTTTAAAACAAGGTTCTGCATTTAAACTACAGTCAATTTATACATTTTTATTTATAGACCGTATTGATGCGTATATTCAGAAGTATCTCAATTCAGTTTGGTAAATAGTGAGTAATAAACGAACACCACCCAATTAATCGACTATGTTTATTTAGGTTTAATCGCTCTTAAAGCTGTTATTTAAATGCTGCCAAAACTAGCAAGTTTAGAATAGCTTAACTGATTATTTGAAGGGAATTTTTTTTAAATCGGGACATAATGTTCGTTTTTACTTTGTTCAGCATTTTCCCCCTTTGAAACTATGTCTATTTGTCACTTAACTCAATCTTTTCCCGTTCGGATCTTGGGTTATTCGACACTTTTTTTCATTCAATACTTAGTCCATTCGAAAATTTGTCTGGTCGACATTTTGTCAATTCGTCATTTTGTTTTTAGATACTCTGACCTACTATCATCTCCAGATAAACGACCCACCCACGTATCGACCGCTAAACGATGATTATGGAGATTTAATCACGTTTAAGGCTATTATTTATTAAATGATGCCAAAGGTAAGAAATAAAAAAAAGTTTATAATAGCTTAATTGATTATTTAGTTTTAAAATAAGGCGATAGGTTCGTTTTACTTTGTTCAACATTTTGTTTTGTTGAAACTTTTTTTTCCGTATTATGTCCATTCGTCATTTAGTGATATCGTTCGGCATTTTATCTAATCGACACTTTGTCCTTTGACACTTTGACCTTCGACATTCTGACCTACTACCCACTCACACGCACATACGTATACGAACACACTATATAACTGAGGCTAAAATAAGACATCGGAATAATACACTCGCCTTCAATTTAGTCTTGTTTGTAAAACTTCTACACTTTGCCAGGAAGAAAATCATAAACGTGACGACAATGAACGAAGAAAATTGACACAATATATATTTTTATGTCTTCTTCTCTATTTAGACGGAATATTTTATCTAATAAGTGTTGTCCATTTAAAATACTATAATTTAGATTTCAAATTTGATCATCTTTCTCTTTGGTAAGCGACTGGGTTCAGAAATACTTGCAAAATAAATGCTTTCGCAGTATTTACTGATTTTAAATTACCTTTTTTGTTTCATAGGTATGTCTTCAATTTTGGTGGAAACCTATTCAAAATCTTGGCCACAGTTTTAATGCTGTAGATATTGTACATATATAATGGTTGATAATATCCGTTTTGAATGTGAAATGTTCCTCTAGAAATAATAAAACCAAGCCAAGCTTGCATTAGAAGGAAATTAAGCTTCCACAAATATAAGGTTTACTTATTTATGGTTGATAATATAAATGAGGCATTTTAACTGCAGCAATATTGAGCGAACATATTTCGGTAATAGCTGACTTGGTCATCGAAGTACTTCTGATTGATTTGTCTTATATTATAATCCCCCGCCACACAGACCGCAGTTAAACTATAATCAATCATAAATGAACGGTTCTAGATTTAATTTCTGTTATCGTACGATCATCAAAGTTAAAAACCGTCGGTTCTCGTCTGTATATTGATATGTGACCGCTTACGAATGTCAGGTGTTGTAAATTTGGATGGGCAAGTTGTGTAATTGTTAACACTACGGAAGTAGAAAATTGGAGAGCTGAGTTCAAACTTCAGTCGGATGCGTTATATTCACTTACACGCAAATAATAGAATGATCCAAACTGATCTCCTCTCACCTATGTAGGACGTGCATGAGAAAATTTCTGTCCTATAAAAGGCAGGATGTGTGTGTGTGTGTGTGTGTGTGTGCGCGTGTGCGTGTGTGTGTGTGTCTGTGTGCGTGTGTGTGTATGTAACGAATGCACGGCCGCAATTTTCGACGGATTTGCACCAAAATTTACATGCACATGCTTCAAGTTAGGGGGAGGCCAAGACCGACTTTGCATTTCCCAACACCCATCGATAGGGGAAATGATCGATTTTTCATGCTTCTACAGCAGTTTTCGTGTAGTTTGCGGTAATTTTATACTGGCCAGAGTGAGAGCCAATAGCTGGCTGCCACGAATAGGCAGGAAGATTCTATTGGCCAGCGTAAGAGCCAACAGCTGACTGACATTAATGTTAACTAGCATGCTAGCATTCAAAAAGAATCGACAGCTGCATTCATCACAAGTGGGAAAAATGTAAATCTGCATGGCACTTTACTCCAATTGGCCCATTCGCTTGTTTTAACTCAACATTGATTCTGATTCCGCAGAACTGGGTTGGGTGTGAAAAAGTATTTGTTGTTAAGATTCTTTTTTCATTCAGTTTTTCCGGTTGCGAGTCCTTTTTTAAAGCTGATCGTTTTGTGTTCATTTTGTTTAGTTCTTTTTTCGTAACAGATTTAATGTTTAGTATAGAGCTTAGAAAAAATTCGCAGTGTGAGATAGGCAAGAAGTAAGGCATGTAGCAACATCAGCACGGCAAAGGGCACTCCTTTAAAGGCAAGGAAGGGCAAAAATATTTAAAGTCAAGTGATAGCGGTTGCTGTATGAGTCGTACGATTTTTGAATCAAGCACAGGCAACGCCAGGCCATGCTGCTAATCATTACTAACTCCCAAAATACTAAAAAAAGATATTCTGATTTTAAATAACCCACGAACTTTTGACAAACCGTTAAAAAACAAAAAAAACAAGAAAAAAAACTATCAATTAATCTAGATTTAATTCCAAAGTTTCTACAAAGAGATTTTCGATTCTCTTTAAAATCGAGACGCATTACCTAGATGAATTGCTGCCTGAAACGAAACTAGAGAAAATGTGTAGGTTATGTGACCTGATACTATGCAGCATGTCGTAAAAGTTCTTATACCGATCATACGATTGCGTATTATTTGCAGCAGTAGACGAGATGACATCATATAGCTGAAAGGAAATGCCTGTTAAAGAAAAAATATCAATTTATATCCAATTCTTCATTGGTTCAATAAAACTCCGTATATTTTCAAAACAATTTAATCTTAAGGACCAATGGCATAGTGGATAAAGGCATTAGTAAGATCCATTGACACGAACCAAAGAGTGTGAGTTCAATACCCGGTTAAAGCAGTGAAGAACTTTCAGAGGGAAATTAACAGGAGATAACTTATAATTGACATCCATTAAACATGTCACGTGGAGCTAGAACAGTCTATACGAGTGAGCGAAATAAAGTGTTCAGTTCGACATTCCAACAACCTGAAGAAGTCCGGAGTGTACAACGACCGAAACGTTGTAAGAAATATGGCGACATGACCTCCTATAAAACGTCCTAAAAGAGAGATAAAGGCATTAAACATCAATTTTCTGAAGAAAGAAATATATTTTCATTATTTGCATTATTCGGATTATTGTGCTCATCATTGTTGACATATTTATCACAACGTTTCGGCCGTTTGTACGCTCCGGTCATCTTCAAGTGGCTGGAATGTCGAACTGAACACTTTATCTAGTTCCACGTACCATGTCAGTTATCAGTTATTAATTCACCGCTCCAAGTTCTCCACTGCCGTAACCAGGTATTGAACTGACAACAGGAGATAACTCTTAACTGACATCCATTAGACATGGCACGTAGAACTATAACAGTCTACCCCAGTGAGCGAAATAAAGGGTTCAGTTCGACATTCCAGCAACCTGAAGAAGCCCGGAGCGTACAACGGCAGAAACGTTGTAAGAAATTTGGCGACAAACATGAGGAAAATAGTCCGTATAATGTAAATAATGTTTATAATACCTCATTTCAGAAATATAGACAGATACAACTGAACCTCTCTTGCAACACTAATTAACTTTTAACGTCTAACTCGGATTTTTTTTTCCTCGATCTGCCACGCTCTTATTCATTCTGCCTTTGTTTTTAACCATTACCCCCCCACTCCCAAATCGATATTATCGATTGGATGCAAAAGGTTACATAGAAGGAAAGAGAACGACAAAAATTTAGTGGCGCCAAGTGAGAAACGAACAACAAAGAAGGGTCGAGGAAAGCAGTATGTGGCAATTTACGTTGTATTTAAAATTTTGAAGATTGTAGACGGCTGGGAAGGAAGATATCAGGAGGGATTTCCACAGGTGAGAAGAGCGAGAAACGATCCCATTTGAATAGAAGTGGCGATAGGCAATAATTGCGAAGTTAATGAATTCCAGGCACCACTTTCCCAACAGAAGAGTTGCCATGAAAATATTTCTAGAAAAGACAAAAAGAAGCCAAGTAGCTTCGGTCAGGTAATTCCATATTTATATCTGATTCTGTTGCTTTCAATATATCAGCTGGTAGATAAATTAATAAGGAACGCTTTCATACGAATTTATACTGAGTGTAAGTGAGTCATTTTAGTTCTTAGTTTACTTATTTATTTATTTTTTTAGGGGTGGGTTGGCTGGGTATGATGATAAACTACATCCGGCAGCAAGGCGTCTGATCGGAAGACTGGCGTTTTCGGGGAGCTGTTGTTCCCAGCTACACCCAGATCAGGGGTTCTAGGATCTGTTAGATGTACAGCTACGAAAAAATAGTGAACTCACAAACAAAAAACAGAAGTATGAAATTATAAAAAATTCATTTTTATAGTAAAATTACAAACAGTACATATGTATGATAAATTTACCATCTATACTTTTATAGCAAAATGACTAAAGGTACATTTTATCTGTAGTTGAATCAATGCACTTGCGTTCAAAATATTTAGTCGAAGCGATAAAATTGTGTACAAAACATTTAGATTTCGGTATCAAATGACCCATGGTGGTTGATATGCATTTAAACAAAATCAACCAGCACTTATTCCATTTCTGCTGCTTCTTCCATTATGTGTTCGTTTTTTTTATTTATTTTGATGTTTTTATATATTTGATATGTTTTGCTTTGTTTTCACTATCCATTCATTCTACGCAGAGCTGTATTATTATTCTTGTTTCGCTTAATTTCGGTTTACGCTTACATTTTCTATGTTTTATATTCTTTCATCTCCCCCACTATTTTCACGTTCTTTAATGCATATATTTCCTTTTGAACTTGTTTCTGTCATGTTTTTCATTACTCTTTTCCTTTTCTTTTTTTCTTTTCATCTTCTTTCTTAAACTTTTTTCCTAGTCTCTTTCTTTAATTTTATTCACTGTCTTCCGTTATTTCTTTTTTTCATCTTCTTCGCTACTCTATCTTGAGTCTTTCATTAATCATCTGCACCATTTTTTTCCTTTCTTTCTTTCATCTTTTTCACTAATCATTTCTCTATTTTAGTTTCTTTCTTGAATCTTTTTCACTAATCTTTTTCTTTTATCCTTTCTTTCTTTAATAGTCTTCACTACTCTTTTTTTTCTTTCCTAGTCTTTTTCTGTAATATTTTCAATACTCTTTTACTTTAGCTCTTTCTTCCTTTCATCTTCTCCCCTGCTTTTTTTTACTTTCCTAATCTCTTTCTTTAATTTACGTCACTACCATTTGTCTTTGATACTTTCTTTTCATTGTCTTTCCTATTCTTTTTTCTTTCCTAGTTACTTTCTTTAATCTTGTTCACTCCTCTTTTTTCTTCTTTCTTTCTTTCTTTCTTTCTTTCTTTCTTTCTTTCTTTCTTTCTTTCTTTCTTTTCCCGACTCTTTCTCTTTTGTAGGCTTCTTCATTATACTACTCTTTTTCTTCTGCTTTTTGTTTTTTTTAATTTTCTTCCCCGTTCTCTTTTATTTCGTTCTTTCTTTTTTCTTTCTTTCACCTTCTTCTTCCCCGTTCTCTTTTACTTGATTCTTTCTTTTTTCTTTCTTTCACCTTCTTCCCTATTCTCTTTTATTTCGTTCTTTCTTTTTTCTTTCTTTCACCTTCTTCTTCCCCGTTCTCTTTTATTTCGTTCTTTCTTTTTCTTTCTTTCACCTTCTTCCTATTCTCTTTTTATTTCGTTCTTTCTTTTTCTTTCTTTCACCTTCTTCTTCCCCGTTCTCTTTTATTTCGTTCTTTCTTTTTTTCTTTCTTTCACCTTCTTCCCTATTCTCTTTTATTTCGTTCTTTCTTTTTTCTTTCTTTCACGTTCTTCCCTATTCTCTTTTATTTCGTTCTTTCTTTTTTCTTTCTTTCACCTTCTTCTTCCCCGTTCTCTTTTATTTCGTTCTTTCTTTTTTCTTTCTTTCACCTTCTTCCCTATTCTCTTTTATTTCGTTCTTTCTTTTTTCTTTCTTTCACCTTCTTCTTCCCCGTTCTCTTTTATTTCGTTCTTTCTTTTTTCTTTCTTTCACCTTCTTCCCTATTCTCTTTTATTTCGTTCTTTCTTTTTTCTTTCTTTCACCTTCTTCTTCCCCGTTCTCTTTTATTTCGTTCTTTCTTTTTTCTTTCTTTCACCTTCTTCCCTATTCTCTTTTATTTCGTTCTTTCTTTTTTCTTTCTTTCACCTTCTTCTTCCCCGTTCTCTTTTATTTCGTTCTTTCTTTTTTTTTCTTTCACCTTCTTCCTATTCTCTTTTATTTCGTTCTTTCTTTTTTTCTTTCTTTCACCTTCTTCTTCCCCGTTCTCTTTTATTTCGTTCTTTCTTTTTTCTTTCTTTCACCTTCTTCCTATTCTCTTTTTATTTCGTTCTTTCTTTTTCTTTTCTTTTCACCTTCTTCTTCCCCGTTCTCTTTTATTTCGTTCTTTCTTTTTTCTTTCTTTCACCTTCTTCCCTATTCTCTTTTATTTCGTTCTTTCTTTTTTCTTTCTTTCACCTTCTTCCCTATTCTCTTTTATTTCGTTCTTTCTTTTTTCTTTCTTTCACCTTCTTCTTCCCCGTTCTCTTTTATTTCGTTCTTTCTTTTTTCTTTCTTTCACCTTCTTCCCTATTCTCTTTTATTTCGTTCTTTCTTTTTTCTTTCTTTCACCTTCTTCTTCCCCGTTCTCTTTTACTTGATTCTTTCTTTTTTCTTTCTTTCACCTTCTTCCCTATTCTCTTTTATTTCGTTCTTTCTTTTTCTTTCTTTCACCTTCTTCTTCCCCGTTCTCTTTTATTTGGTTCTTTTTTTCTTTCTTTCACCTTCTTCCCTATTCTCTTTTATTTCGTTCTTTCTTTTTCTTTCTTTCACCTTCTTCTTCCCCGTTCTCTTTTATTTGGTTCTTTCTTTTTTCTTTCTTTCACCTTCTTCCCTATTCTCTTTTATTTCGTTCTTTCTTTTTTCTTTCTTTCACCTTCTTCTTCCCCGTTCTCTTTTATTTCGTTCTTTCTTTTTTCTTTCTTTCACCTTCTTCCCTATTCTCTTTTATTTCGTTCTTTCTTTTTTCTTTCTTTCACCTTCTTCTTCCCTATTCTCTTTTATTTCGTTCTTTCTTTTTTCTTTCTTTCACCTTCTTCTTCCCTATTCTCTTTTATTTCGTTCTTTCTTTTTTCTTTCTTTCACCTTCTTCTTCCCGTTCTCTTTTATTTCGTTCTTTCTTTTTTTTCTTTCACCTTCTTCTTCCCCGTTCTCTTTTATTTCGTTCTTTCTTTTTTTTTTCTTTCACCTTCTTCTTCCCTATTCTCTTTTATTTCGTTCTTTCTTTTTCTTTCTTTCACCTTCTTCTTCCCTATTCTCTTTTATTTCGTTCTTTCTTTCTTTCTTTTTTCACCTTCTTTTCTTTCTTTTTATTTCGTTCTTTCTTTTTTCTTTCTTTCCCGTTCTCTTTTTATTTTATTTCTTTCTTTTTTCTTTCTTTTCACCTTCTTCCCTATTCTCTTTTTATTTCGTTCTTTCTTTTTCTTTCTTTCACCTTCTTCTTCCCCGTTCTCTTTTTTATTTCGTTCTTTCTTTTTCTTTCTTTCACCTTCTTCCCTATTCTCTTTTATTTCGTTCTTTCTTTTTTTCTTTCTTTCACCTTCTTCTTCCCGTTCTCTTTTATTTTCGTTCTTTCTTTCTTTTTTTTTCTTTCTTTCACCTTCTTCTTCCCTATTCTCTTTTATTTCGTTCTTTCTTTTTTCTTTCTTTCACCTTCTTCTTCCCCGTTCTCTTTTTTATTTCGTTCTTTTCTTTTTTCTTTCTTTCACCTTCTTCTTCCCGTTCTCTTTTATTTCGTTCTTTCTTTTTTCTTTCTTTCACCTTCTTCTTCCCCGTTCTCTTTTTATTTCGTTCTTTTTTTTTTTTCTTTCACCTTCTTCTTCCCCGTTCTCTTTTTATTTCGTTCTTTCTTTTTCTTTCTTTCACCTTCTTCCCTATTCTCTTTTATTTCGTTCTTTCTTTTTCTTTCTTTTTCACCTTCTTCTTCCCCGTTCTCTTTTATTTCGTTCTTTCTTTTTATTTTTCTTTTTTTTCACCTTCTTCTTCCCTATTCTCTTTTATTTCGTTCTTTCTTTTCTTTCTTTCACCTTCTTCTTCCCGTTCTCTTTTATTTCGTTCTTTCTTTTTTTTTCTTTCACCTTCTTCCCTATTCTCTTTTATTTCGTTCTTTCTTTTTCTTTCTTTCACCTTCTTCTTCCCCGTTCTCTTTTTATTTCGTTCTTTCTTTCTTTTTCTTTCTTTCACCTTCTTCTTCCCTATTCTCTTTTATTTCGTTCTTTCTTTTTCTTTCTTTCACCTTCTTCTTCCCGTTCTCTTTTATTTCGTTCTTTCTTTTTCTTTCTTTCACCTTCTTTCTTCCCTATTCTTTCTTTTATTTCGTTCTTTTTTTTTCTTTCTTTCACCTTCTTCTTCCCCGTTCTCTTTTATTTCGTTCTTTCTTTTTCTTTCTTTCACCTTCTTCTTCCCCGTTCTCTTTTATTTCGTTCTTTCTTTTTTCTTTCTTTCACCTTCTTCCCTATTCTCTTTTATTTCGTTCTTTCTTTTTTCTTTCTTTCACCTTCTTCTTCCCCGTTCTCTTTTTATTTCGTTCTTTTTTTTTTTCTTTCTTTCACCTTCTTCCCTATTCTCTTTTATTTCGTTCTTTTTTTTTTTTCTTTCACCTTCTTCTTCCCCGTTCTCTTTTTATTTCGTTCTTTCTTTCTTTTTTTTTTCTTTCACCTTCTTCTTCCCTATTCTCTTTTATTTCGTTCTTTCTTTTTTTTCTTTTCACCTTCTTCTTCCCCGTTCTCTTTTATTTCGTTCTTTCTTTTTTTTTTTTCACCTTTTCTTCCGTTTCTCTTTTATTTCGTTCTTTTCTTTTTTCTTTCTTTCACCTTCTTCTTCCCCGTTCTTTTTTATTTCGTTCTTTCTTTTTCTTTCTTTCACCTTCTTCTTCCCCGTTCTCTTTTTTTATTTTTTCTTTTTTTTTTTCTTTCACCTTCTTCCCTATTCTCTTTTATTTCGTTCTTTCTTTTTTCTTTCTTTCACCTTCTTCTTCCCCGTTCTCTTTTATTTCGTTCTTTCTTTCTTTTTTCTTTCTTTCACCTTCTTCTTCCCTATTCTCTTTTATTTCGTTCTTTCTTTTTTCTTTCTTTCACCTTCTTCTTCCCCGTTCTCTTTTATTTCGTTCTTTCTTTTTTCTTTCTTTCACCTTCTTCTTCCCCGTTCTCTTTTATTTCGTTCTTTCTTTTTTCTTTCTTTCACCTTCTTCTTCCCCGTTCTCTTTTATTTGGTTCTTTCTTTTTTCTTTCTTTCACCTTCTTCCCTATTCTCTTTTATTTCGTTCTTTCTTTTTTCTTTCTTTCACCTTCTTCTTCCCCGTTCTCTTTTATTTCGTTCTTTCTTTTTTCTTTCTTTCACCTTCTTCTTCCCCGTTCTCTTTTATTTCCTTCTTTCTTTTTTCTTTCTTTCACCTTCTTCCCCGTTCTCTTTTATTTCCTTCTTTCTTTTTCTTTTTTTCTTTTTTCTTTCTTCCTCTTCTTTCGTTCTTTATTTCCTTCTTTCTTTTTCTTTCTTTCACCTTCTTCCCCGTTCTCTTTTATTTCCTTCTTTCTTTTTTCTTTCTTTCACCTTCTTCCCCGTTCTCTTTTATTTCCTTCTTTCACCTTCTTCCCCGTTCTCTTTTATTTCCTTCTTTCTTTTTTCTTTCTTTCACCTTCTTCCCCATTCTCTTTTATTTCCTTCTTTCTTTTTTCTTTCTTTCACCTTCTTCCCCGTTCTCTTTTATTTCCTTCTTTCACCTTCTTCCCCGTTCTCTTTTATTTCCTTCTTTCTTTTTTCTTTCTTTCACCTTCTTCCCCGTTCTCTTTTATTTCGTTCTTCCTTTCTTTCGACTTCTTTACTACTCAATTTTCAGTCCTAGTTTCTTTCATTAATTTTCTTCGTTACTTTTTTCTTTCATTTTTCCTTTCATTTATGTTCTTCGTTACCCTTTTTTCTTTCTTACTTTCGTTCTGTTTTTATTTATCTATGTATTTTCATCAAACTCATAAATGTTACCACTTTCTGATCACATATTTCATTTCTCTTTTTATCACATTTTGTCTATCTTCTGGTCCATTAATTACTTACATACTTACATTCCTTTTTTTTTCTGTTTGACTCAATAACTTTCAGTATTGGTATGTATATTTTCCGTCATTTTCATTTCATTCTTTTTTCTGTTTCTCGGGGGTCCCGTCTCTATCAATCGGAGATAGACCGAATATATCAGGTCATCCCATAAGTTCTGTCCGAATTTTAACTTTTTGTTAAAATGAATGAAATTTAAAGAGTATTTTATAATGTCTAATGGAGCTGAACATTATTTTTATGTTCAGATGCATTTAAACTGATCAAATTTTATTTCAGAAAACAATAAAATTAAATTTTGTTTGATTAAAACCCTGCTAACATGGAAGTACCCAAGAATCATTTGAGGCACATAATGCTTTATGAGTTCAAGAAAGGAAACTCAGCAGCCGAAGCGGCTAGAAACATTCACTCAGTTTATGGAGAGGAATGTGTGAATGAAAGAACTTGCAGAAGATGGTTTGAAGAATTCAGAGGTGGAGATATCACCCTTGAAGATGAAGATCAAACCGGACATCCAGTTGAGTTTGATAAAAAGATTCTTGAAGCAGACCTTGAAGAAAATCCTGCTTTATCAGTTGAGTAATTGGCAGTGGTTCTCAGTTCAAACCATACAACTTTTCATCGTCAACTTCAACAACTTGGAAAAGTTCCTAAACTTGGAAAATGGGTGCCTCATGAATTGTCTAAAAACAACCTCAAATCCCGAGTTGACATCTGCTCTTCTTTCCATTCTCGCCAACTTTGACTGGCGACGAAAAATGGATCTTTTATCGAAATGTTAAGCGGCATAGACAGTGGCTTGTTAAAGGGGAAGGACCCCAGCCAAAGCCGAGAATGGAAATTCATGGGCAAAAGGTTCTTCTTACAATCTGGTGGGATCGCCAAAGAAAAATCCACTTTGAATTCTTACAACGTAATGCAACAATTAATGCTCAAATATACTGTCAAAGAACAATAAAATTAAATTTTGTTTGATTAAGACCCTGCTAACATGGAAGTACCCAATCTTTCTTTTTCACTATATAAATTGGTATAAAATAAATTGATTCTTGAATATATATATATATATATATATATATATATATATATATATATATATATATATATATAAATAGATGAATATAGTTATAGATATAGATAGATAGATCGGTAGAGATTAGATAAAAACGGACACATATATATATATATATATATATATATATATATATATATATATATATATATATATATATATATATATATATATATACTGCGTTTGAACCAAGCTTTGAGGAAAAAAGATCTACTCTATTGAATCGAAAAGAGGTGATGTTTCATCAGGACAATGCACGGCATTACACAGCAAGAATCACGTCACAAAAGATAGGTTGGGAGAAAATTCCTCATCCACCTTATTCTCTCGATCTTCCCCCTTCAGACTACCATTTGTTTCCTAGATAACAGAATCATTTGGAAGAAACAGCTTTTATAACAGAGGAAGAGGTTAAAACTGACATTTGTGAGTTCTTCGAATCAAAGCCAAAAGAATTTTACAGTAATGGAATTAGTAAGCTTGTTAATAGATGGAAGGAAGTCATAGATAATCAGGGAAAATACATTGTTGATAGAATCTGTAATTAAATGTAACATTTGGTCACTCGTTTTATTTATTCAAAATTCGGACAGAACTTATGGGATGACCTGATTCATAGTCTTAAACATCATTCGACATTTCGTTTAAAATTCCGTTTTCCGCAAGATTATCAATTCCACGAAAATTCTATCAACAAACGCGTACGAGTGTGTGTATGGATTAGCTACATAAATAATACAACTGTTTAATGATAAATATTTTTATTTCATATGTTATACATCCTCGTCAATGCACATAACACTGTAAATACACAGATTGAATATAAATCAAATAAATAAACTATTTCAGCTAACACAATTTTTAGGCTACGTAATTAGTTATTCAATCGCGATCACACAAAACAACACTCACGCAAGAATATAAATTGGTATATAATAAATTGGTATATAATAATAATAGCAACAACATTAAGTATATAAGTGTATAGCAACTTATATGTTTGAATATTCCGATATAAAATATTTGTCTCTTGAAGTTTGAGTCTAAAACTTGGCGGCAATTCGTACTATCAAAAGCAAAGTGAAAACACAATAAAACCAAAACAGTCAGTCTTCAAAGATGTCTGGAAACTACAGAAGATTGGCTGATCTGTGTCAAAGAACATAAGAGAAATAAGAAACGTTATTTAGTAATAAATGAAGCCAAAAGGGAATTTCAATTGGGTGAGAAAGTGCAAATGCACCATAATACATCTACTGCAGCGGCAAAGAAACTAAAAAAGAAAGAAAATGCATTGTATCAAATGCCGAAGCGATGGCAAGAAAAGATTCTTCATATTCAATACCCTGACCGTATTACACAAACTGTTGTAGAAAAACCTCGTACGTATGAATTGATACGCAGTGCAGGTTTACAAATTGAATCCGAAGTTTTTATTCTTGCTTCACATGACCAAGACTTGTTAACTACAAATTACCAAGCATATATACTGAAAAATTGTGTCAAAACGAATTCAGTTTTGTGATAAATATCCAGAAACAATTGATCATCTTGAATATATATATATATATATATATATATATATATATATATAGAGAGAGAGAGATAGATATCAGTAGAGATGAGATAAAACGCATATATATATATATATATATATATATATATATATATATATATATATATATATATATATATATATATATATTATATATATATTATATATATATATATATATATATATATATATATATATATATATATATATATATATACATATATATATATATATATATATATACATATATATATATATATATATATATATATATATATATATATATATATATATATATATATATATATACATATATACAGATAGATAGATAGATTGATAGATAGATAGATGGGCGGACATGAGATAACATAGATATCCATGAAATGACATAGAGAGATAGTTTAGATAGATATATATGAATAGATAGGTAGATATAAATATAGATAGATATGAGTGGACTTAGATATAAAATGAGGTAGATAAGTATATATTAATAGACTTACATATATAAACGTGAGAGGACATATATAAAAAGACTCATCAAGATAGTTATTTATAAACAAAACTGATAGATATATAATCAGACTGATATAAATAGATAGACAAAAACTGACATAGATAGATAGATAGATAGATAAACAGACAGCTTTATTTTCCGATTTCACCTGTTTAATTAATTTTCTAGCCTCTTTTCTTTTTTAATACATTTCATTCATTCCTCAACGTTTTCAGTTTTAACTTCGTTCAATCCATTCTTGTTCGTCTATTTCCGCATTCCGTTTTCTTCTAAGCATTCCGTTTTATTATTTACCCTCTTTTTTTCTCCGCTTTACATCCTGTGATTCTTTTTTTTTTTCCTCTCCTTTTCTTCTCGACACTTCTTTTTATTATCCTCTTCTATTCCAGTCTTTCCTCTTCAACGATTCAACGATGGACGAAATATAATCAACACAATAGTAAACTTATAAATTGACTCTCTTCAGTGCTTTTTCGGACACAGGCATTCGGAAATGCATAGAAATAACGTTGCAGACGCTATACAATAAAATTCAATAGATTCAACGAAATGAATTTTCACCAATGCTAACTAGCTACTTCGACAAAAATAAAATAAAGCGTATTGACTGTAACTTTATTCTTGGTATGGGCATGCACTCGCCCTATTCCTGCGACCTCATCTGAAAGAATGTCGCAATATAACGGAAAACCGTTGTATAAATAAAACGAAGGAAATATGTGCACTCATGTAATCAAAACAACTGGACGAATTAAATGTACATGCAGTTATAGTGAGGACAATGTCCAGAAAAGTTTTCTCGCCAAGTATAGCTTCCAAAAACCGTTATTGGTCATTTGGTCAGTGGGTCGGGCCGAAAGAATCCATCTCGTATATACTTAGTGTATTAAAAGAAATAAAATAGTTGATAGAAAACTAGTTGATAGCTATATAACTTCAGGTTCCGGTATCGATCACTATATAACCGTATCATTAAAGTAAGTACAGATTCGATGGAAACGTGATATCGTCTTCTAATCACATATGTCACACAAACTGACGTGAAAGTATATTACAAACAGTCCTACATTCTGCTGTCAGTAATGTTAATGGTAATATCAGCCATTACCTCACGATGAAACATTTGGCATTCGTTGACCGAATAATTGATATCTGAGAAAAACGTTTTTTGCCTTCCATCAACATGTTTGATGCTATTCTCCAGCTAAGATGTATTGCAGTTTCTCGAATTAACTTTTTCTGCATAGATGATATTCACTCATTTGCTAGATTTGCTGCTAGATAAATTGCTTCTCTCTCTCGTGCTAGATAAAATTTCTCGCTAGAATGTTAGATTTATAAATTTTGTAAGACAGATATTTACTAATTGTCCATAAATTAAACTGTTGCTGCATATTCTCTAGATAAAAGAACATCGGAGTGGTTTCACGTCTCTTAATTCTCATTTTCTGTTTACCGATTTGCCATATTTCATTAATTCTTACCTTATTTTATATTCTATACGATCTACAGTTGTTATATTTATTACATAATCATAGAAGCATTTTTAATCGTCCTCGAAGGCCTTTTTGCCTTCTGTCAGCATGGCTGATGTTAACCTTCTGGAGAATCATTCATTGAACATCCTTGGACTCACGTTCATCTGAATTGCTAAATTGGCTTCTACTAAACCTGGGTCACTTTTAGTGAAGCTTGCTACATATTTACACGTCTACCAAGCTTCAATGCATTGAGTATCTTTGTCTGGTGCTTCTGTCACGTACTTAGAGATTCTTATAGATACAAAGAAGAATCTGCAATGTTACTGGACTTGAATTGGCAAATCGGCTTCAGTTATTTTCTCACCAGAATCAGTAAATCACTTTAAATATCCTAATAATATGGGTCAAATAAAATTATTAATCTTAATGTTGGAAATACAAGACAATTCTTCATCAGATCTTATAGACTAGGGTTACAAAATAATAACCACTGAAAGTTAACAAATAACAGAAACTATATATCTTGAAGACTTCCAACATCAGTAACAACTAAAAGAGTATAGAGAGAGAGTAAGGCAGCAATCGACTTACCTATCTGAAGATTGTGTATGAATGGATGGCGAGCACTTTAGCAATTCGAGAATGACTGCTAGAGGTTAAAAGTGACAGGAAGTTTGGAGAGCCATGATTTCCCATGTTCTGAAGGGACACGACACAAAGAAGAAGAAAAAGCGCGCTAATCTTCTTTCCTTTTCTCAGAAAGAATTTGACAGCTAGGTTTTTGTGTTCACTAATTTCAGCACATTCAGTATCTGTATCGACTTAAACTCAGGTCACCTTTAGAAGTTTTGTAAGATGAATTTCTGGAATTATTGAATGGATTCTGAGGCAAAGATATGTCCAAATCTCTCTCTACAAAACGTTTTGGTGTGCTATGTTAAAATTCTACTTCTCTGTGTTCAAAAAATAATTGTGTACATTTTTCTTAATGTTAATATTTACTAAAATATTATGAACAGTTTTTTTTTCAATTATGGTAAAAAGAAAGTCAACTGAAAATTATATTAGTCGGTGACTTATTGCAATCGATCATGGAACTGATTTGCTTGTTGCTAAGACCATCGATCTCGTTAAAAATTAAATAATTTCCTGGATAAAATATACATATATAAAATAAAAATATACCTATCCGTTACTGTCTATTCTATTCTCTGGTATTCATATATTTAATACTATGTACTTCTCAACGGGTACAACTACACAGTCTATCAGGACACTGTCTGTCAGGACACAGTCTGTCAGAACACAGTCTGTCAAGACGCAACTATATGCGATAGTAGACGATTTAAGAATACCCTGTTTTAGGTTGCGTAAATAAAGAAGAAATCATTCACCTTAATATTAGAAACGTTATTGACAAAACTCTCTATAGTTACTTTAAAAAACAAAACAGTGATATAAATACAGGTAATAAAAAATAATAACATAATATTTTTTCACATAAAATGCAAGATTTCTAATTGTAAAAAAAAATATATTTTCAAATTAAAATTAAATTTTTAAAAAATTAATCAGTTTGTCGGACGATCCCAAAAGCGTGAAACCCAGGGTCACAAGCTCACATCAATCCAACCAAATTTCTTCTCTCTATCTCTGATATTGAGCGCTTTCTAATAAGTACTGCGCAGATAATATATAAATATAAATATATATATATATATATATATATATATATATATATATATATATATATATATATATATATATATATATATATATATATATATGGATGGATAAAAATTATAATAAAGCCTAAACGTGTCTAAATTTATTCATTTTATTTGTCCATGAGAATTGACAATCATGTATAATACATTAAAATTAAAGATGCATATTACATTAAACGTTGGTCTGATTAAAACAATACTAGTTATAATAGTTAACAGTGCAGATGGTGGAATCATTAAGTCGAGATCAATTCCAGTTCAGCCTATTGAATTCATTTTCTCATTAAAGTCCTTGCTGAATGCACTCCTTTTCTCAATTAATTGATATGATTTAAATAAAAGAGCAGTGTGGAGTCACTTCCGAGCGGATAGGTACATTGGATTCAAAATCATGGATAATTTAATGGAGCAACACAGTATTTACTCAAGAATCCATAGCAACTCAACGCTAATAAAAAATAAATATTTCCAGAGTCTCCATAGTTGTTTCATGCAGAGTAAGGCCATTAAATTAGACTCCTAACACACATATTGACGAACGCATAAATGCACATACAAGCATACATACAAGCATAATACACACACACACACACACACACACACACACACACACACACACACACACACACATATATATATATATATATATATATATATATAGTGTGTTGTGTATTTGGGCAGCAATTCCTCTTTTATACAAGTTCCGTTGAAAAGGAATAACATGGTGTGGTGCTTGAGTCCTTCATATAATTTCTCATGTAATTTCTACATATTTTTTCTTTTCAGGGCATAAGTTATAAGAACAGATGTCGGAATGTTTTCCAAGCGATTTCGGCTATACTTTTAGCCATTAACAATAATGAATTTCATTTCACATTTAACTGAATGTAGGGATTGTTTTAACTATGTATCATGTTTGGAAAATAAAACATTCCTATAGTTCTAGTTACATACATGAAAAAAAACAAATTGTCTATATTCAGTTAAACGTAAAATAATATTGATTCTTGTTAATGGCTAAAAGTATAACCGAAAGTCTTTAGAAAACATTCGGACAATTTTTACATAATTGCTGCCCTGAAAAGAAATACAATTAAACGAACACATGAGAAATATTATATGGAACTCGTGCACCTCGAGGTGGTGTAATGGTTAGCAAGCTTGTCTCGCTAGAACAATTACAACTGAATAGTGAGGTCGATCCTCACTGGGGTCCCCTACTTTCGGCCTTGTGCTACATCTAAGCCATTCTTAAAAAATCACTATAATATAAAGAACTCAAGCATTTCACCCTGGCAGACGTTTTTCATGAAAAATGCACACACAGATACATATATTTATTATGAAGTCAACCAAGTCCGACATTTAAATATATTTATTGTTTATACGTTATTTTTATAGATACAAATATTTAAATGCTCTGTTTATATTAAACAACATTTACCGGCCTGAATGTCCGTGAAATTTAATGGAAAATATATGACTTCCGCCAGGAATCGAACGTGTATCCTACACGGTTCCGACCTATACGCCTTAGGTGGAGAGGAAAGTAATTCGAGCTTGCTGATCAGGCGCTTTCTCTGAAGCTAAGTCTTATAGATTATCAGTATATATGTGTAGATAAATTAGATTGCTCTCGGAGGACACATATTTTCCATGAATTTTCTCGGATATTCAGGCCGGGAAATGTTGCCAATAATGTGTGTGTGTGTGTGTGTGTGTGTGTGTGTGTTTGTACACACACACACACATATATATATATATATATATATATATATATATATATATTTAGTTGGATAGATGTGAGTTTGTGACCCTGGGTTTCACGCTTTAGCGATCGTCAGACAAACTGATGATTTTTTTTTAAATTTTGGGTTTATGAAGATTGCGTGTATTGGTGTTATTATGGAAGTGGTGTGGGAAATGTCATCGTACTGACGCAAACATCGATGTATGTTCATACGTCTAACGGAGTACGCAGATACATATACATACTTGGTCGTCCGTCGGGACTCATACATATAGAAACATATGTGGGCAGTTTCGGATATGACACATGTATGTATACGGGTGGTGTTGTGTCAATACATACGCATTTGTATGTTGAAATTCAAAGA